CATTGTCGACACAATGCCTTCAACACATTGCACAAACGTTCTCATCCAGGTGTTCGTGCAACCATCAAGCTTATAGCAGAACGGTTTTGCTGGCCTGGTATGAATAAAGACGTGAGAGATTGGGCACGCTCCTGTTTAAGCTGCCAAAAATCTAAGGTCATCAGACACAATAAATGTCCCTTAGGCTCATTTAAAACTCCCGATGCTCGTTTCGACCATGTTCATCTGGATTTGGTAGGACCTTTACCAGATTCAAATGGATACTCTTATCTTTTAACCTGCGTAGACTGTTTCACTCGATGGCCAGAAGCAGTACCTATCAAGGACCTCACTGCTGAAACAGTGGCCCGCACCTTCGTTGAACGATGGGTGGCGAACTTCGGCTGCCCTTCAACCATCACTACAGACCGCGGACGTCAGTTTGAATCCGAACATTTCCGTCGTCTGACCACACTTTTAGGAAACACTCGCTTCCGAACGACCGCCTACCACCCACAAGCAAACGGGTTGGTAGAACGTTTTCATCGACAACTAAAAGCTTCACTATCAGCTGCAAACGTTTCACAGTGGACCGACGCTCTTCCACTTGTCTTACTAGGTATCCGAAATGCAATGGAAGCTGACATTGGATACACTGCGGCTCAACTCGTTTATGGAACGACACTTCGACTTCCGGGAGAATTCGTGGACCCTTCATCCTCTTCAATGAACATGTATCTAACCTCCTACACAAACAGGCTTACAAACGCAATGCGCTCAGTTAAACCTGCTTCCACTCGACCTCAATCAACTGATGTATTCGTTCAACCTGACTTACGATATAGTACACACGATTTCGTTCGTCGAGACTCGCATCGACGACCATTCGAATCAGCATTCGAAGGACCCTTCAAAGTTCTTCAACGCGAACCGAAGTACTATATAGTCGATAAGAACGGAACAAACGATAGCATCAGCATCGATCGCTTAAAAGCAGGGTATTTAGAAGGAAATCCTATTCACGTCGATTTTCCTTTGGTACAATCGCACAACACGACCCCTACACTGATAATTCCTCAACCGACAACCAACACTAGCGATGATACTCCGAATGTATCTGAAAACAAACCTAAAACGACGCGTTCTGGAAGAAGAGTAAGATTTCCAGGCCATTTAAACGACTACTTCATGTAAGGCACTACTCGACATTTTATATTATCTCGATCTTTCTTTTTAAGATCTATAATATTTTTTTTTAAAAAACAATTTTAATATGCTTATATATTTACATTTTTTACTTAAAAAAACAAAAAATTTTTTTAACGCTATTATGTGTGCTTGAGTATATTTTCCATTTTTTCACCGACGTTTGTGTTTTTACGCACATACGAGTGTATTTCGACATGCACTTACATATTCTTTTTTCTTTTCCAGGACGGCTGGAAAAGGACGATGCAGTTTACGAGGAGTCGAAATTTTCGTTGTACCTTCTTTTTTACCATGTTGTACCTCGGTCCCATATAATAAGGAAAGACGACCAGACGCTGCTAAACTTAGTAAGCTATCAGAAGAGTGTTTACCAACGACAAACTCGATGGGTTTAAACTTCTGGGTGGCCACGTCTTAGGGTCGTCACTGCCCCATAGTGGTAAATAAATCCCCAAAATAAATAGCACTAAGTTTTCGACATTACATGCTGACCATATGTTTTGGTGGACTCATCTAGCTGAAGGCGCTCGTTCATGCATCCGCACCAGATCACGTTTGGTAACGCCGTGCTCAACATTAACCGCAATCGCTAGCCAGATTAGATCAGAGAATTCCGATATATTGGTCATCGCCAAATATACTCTTCCGATCTCCTCGACTCTGTCTTTCGATTTCTCTGGGTGGGAACGAATTATATTAGAAGGTGTTACTGGCAGAAGCGTTGTCAAACACTGAATACCTGTGACATCATCAATGTCATGACTTTTGTTGCTTGAAGAGAAGCTATGTGAAAACGCGGATGGGTCCGAAAAACATATTCGAAATTGCCGAACAGGTTGCATTTGTGTACGCGGCCATCACAAGATCAACCAGTTATGACAGAATAAAAGCATTTCAGGCAGTACAGCCTAACAATTGTGCTGTTTTACAGCATTATCGCGAGTTTTAAATATTCCCAATTAGAGCCAGAATTCATTTCCTTTTTCATGGAAAGGAAAATGCATGTGAAGAATGTGCAGTATTATACCCAAATGACGATGGTTGCTACGAACAGCTAAGATCTTGTTATTGGTATTGTAAGTAGAAACGATTCCAACTACTGATGGATATCTAAAATATTATTCCATTTACTTGTAGCGGTAAATACACACTTCAAATACATAGATCTGTGTGTCTTCGACACCGACACAAACCTCATTAGACGCGCTGTACATATCTTTCAGTTGGAGTCGCTCGATCACACATCCTCACCAGATCACCATCGGGTTCGGCGAGATACCCACTCCTTGCAACAATTAGACAACATAGATCGATCACATCTCGGCATATTGAATACCTTCTGATTATCATTTTCTAATTCCTTCATTTCTAACGTTTGGTTCAACTGAGTTTGAGGTTTTTCTATTATAAAGTTTTCACGAATGAAAACACTGTCAAACCACGAATATCTGTGACATCAAAGGACGATTTGCAAATGCCGTTTCGGGGCGATTTGACGACAAGGAGTACCATTAAAGCTCTCGACAAGTCAAGTTAGAACCTCTCGTGATCACGAGTGTTAAATCAATTCTTATCTTTATGCTTCGGCTTATAAATGGCATCCACTCTTTTGTACTTTATCATATCGTCCCACAACCGGAGAAGTGAATGGAAAGTTCTATCGATTCCGAGAATTTACTTAAATTTACGCTGAACTTTCTTCGTTATTCACTATTCAACAACATTGAACAGACTCCCAGTAAACCTACGTTGCAGTTTAACTAAAACCCGATAACAGAAGTATCGTTGATGAATTGTGTTCCGAACGTGGTCTATGTCACTTATTAAACATCAGGGAAATTATACATGATTTATTCAAATGACGTCCGATATCTATCTAGTTGACTGTAAAGCAAAGTAGAAAATTTTGAATTCTGTTCGTTTGTTCAATTTTTCTGTTTTGTCGTTGACGGAGATCGACGAACTGTCCGTCATCCAGTGACCAACTGCCGGATGATTTGTCTGGGGCTCAGTGGCGTTTCACTTGCCTTACAAACACATTAGTTATTCAACTTTTCTTCGTGTGAACTAGTGATTTGTGCAAAACTCGCGTTTGCAGAAAAATTTCGGAATTCCCATTTATTTTGTCTCATTTTTTGCCCATGATCAAGTCCTCAACAAAAAGAAGTAGCTCTACACTGCTACAAAGCAACTAATTTTCAAGAAAACAGTCACAAAACAAGGAGCGAACCAAAGTGTATTCTAAAAGAAAGAGAAAGCTTGGCTTACGTTCTTTGCAAAGACTTTAGGAATTCCACGCAGAAGCGGACCACATAAGTTCGAGAACACCTGGAAATCAAACAGGATAATAGACATTCAATCAGCCTGGACGAATTAAAATACGGGCTGGTTGCAATAAATTACTCGGTTCAAGGTCATTGAGGCGAAACAGCGGGCGATTTGGAGAGTGTTTTGCCATTTTATCGTGGCTCACCGGACATTGCGCATCACTTATAATGTTACCATCTAGGTCCAAAAAGTTGTGCACCTGTTTTACTTCGTATCAAGATATTCCAGCAATTCTCCTACTAATAGTACTATATGTTTTTCAGGTTGGTAAAAACATCGGTTATACACGATCGATTTTATTCAATATCTATACTTTGATATTATTCTTTTTTTATTCAGTGTCGACGTATTCAATCCGGTTACAGTTATATTAATTTTCATGTTGGAGCCTAAAATATGTACGTATAAGCTATTTTGGTTACACAAATCGACCTAATTTTGTCAGCGTACACATTTGCTGACCATGGTCAAAATCTGACTGTACTTTTATTTAGCTGAAAGGAACGAGGAGCTGAAATGCCTGTTTTAATTGTGAACAAGAGTGTCATTACTTAGGAAGGCAAGATATTTGACCTTAAGTAACTGTGTAGAGACGTTTGTTGTCACTCTGATTGAATGATTGTGGTTATTATATTGCCTTACCGAGCCACGAAAATTCGAGTTAAAGGTAACTATAAGATACCCTGACAGTTGTGATTGGGCAATCTAAATTCGATTGTTTAAGTGAGATATACATATTTCTATAGAGATTTCGGCACATGAAGCCTCATACGATGGCTAAAACCATTAAAAAAATGCCATTGGCACTATTTTTTGAATATTTTTTTTAACGTATTTAATATTCCATTCGTTGCTTGTTCTAATGATAGTCATTGTAGTATGTCTAGATTCACGGGTTTGTCTTCAAATTTCTCCTCCGTACTTTCCCTTAGACTTTATATATGTAAGTGAATACGCATGACCTCCTCATTGACCTAAAGAAATGCCCTTCGTTGTTGTAGATAGTCTTTTTAAAATTATAATTTTGGCACATTTGGTGCCAATGTTCCAATGCTACTCACACATTGCTAAAATATATTCCTATTTGAGATATCAATGAGACTCAGCTTTCTGAAAACTGTTTTATTGCGACAACTGATTTGGTGGTTTGATTATATCAAAGCGCTTTATGGAAAATCATTGGTTTTGGTGTGTTTTATAAATATTGGTTTGTTAGCTTAGTAAAGACCGTGAATATTCAACAGCCTTGATAAAAACCTTGTAAAAGCAGAGTTAAATACTTTAAGAGAACACAGCCTTTTAAAGTTAATAACAGTTAGTGAATAATGCCTATGGTAAAGTTCGTAAAATCATGTGTTATGATACGATATTTGGTACAAACATTGTATTTTAGGGAAAAATTGTTGTTTATAATTTTCTCTGTACAGCTGAAAATTAATAGTTCTATTTTCGACAAATCCAAATTATTTATTAATTTTTAATAGGGCATTTCTATTGGCATTTCTGCTGCGATTCCATTTCTTCTTCAATCAAATTACCATACCGGTGGCTATAATTCACAAGCAACATTTTCAATATCAGCCTGGCCTCATGCTATGAAACTTCTCTGGGCTCCAATAGTTGATTCAATTTACGTCAATTTTATTGGAAGACGGAAGACGTGGCTCATAATAACTCAGTATGCAATTGGAATTGAGTTAATTGTGCTAGCAAGTCTTATCGATGATTTGTTTGGACGAGACCCTAACAAAGCATATAGTCAGTTAGGATCACATCATCCAGTTGCTATAATACCCTTAACTATAGCATTTTTCGTACTTACATTTCTGACAGCTACACAAGATGTTGCGGTTGATGGCTGGGCCTTGACATTGCTATCGAAGTAAGTTGTTTTATATTTGTTATTTAATGTATTTGAACACAAACATTAGTACAAGGGGGCACCAAATACATGTGGGTCACACAATAACAATGAGACTGAAGAAACAGAGAATGTTAAGTGCGCATAATAAAAAGAAGGATAACGGACAGAAATTAGTGTATTAGAATGAAATAATAATGGGAGAAACAGTTCAGTTATGAAAAATACAACCAGAAAGCAGTTGCGTTCATTTTTATGAAGAAAGTTACAGCGGGGCCGTTACTGTTTTCCATTCTGAGCCATGTCTGATAAAGTCTCCAGCCACTATGTTGCACGATCTCTATGACGCCAACCATGGAGTCGTGAGGGACCAAGAGAAGCCAGTCCTGTACAGCTTTCTTTCATACCACGACACCATGTCATACACTGACTATCTCGACGCTTTTTCCAACCGGCCCGAGCGTCGGCAAATAATTCACGATGTGGAGGAACAGGGTCCTGTCAGTTTTATGAAAGTTTATGTCTATGGAAACTACTTTTGTCGCTTTGAAAAACAATCACAAATGATGATGAACTTTGCATTTGGAAGGTACAAAGCACATGCCATACATACGAAACTGATTGCCAACTGGCTGAGTGCGGATTGCATGGCTTGGGTATCATCGCACAGTAAGACAATATCATTCGCATACTCCATGTCAAAAAGTCTTTCTTCAGACGACATATCCGCACCATATGGGCCTGTTGATTTGTAGTGCTTCCAGAGTTGAAGTTTCTTTATAGACTTCCATCTTGTTGGGTGGACCAGTCATCACACGCCATGGAGAGCAGGACAGTCAGATCGATGTTGCCGGAGCAGCGAACCGGTTGAACTGCTCCTCGAAAAACTCTGCCCATCATCCAAGATATCGGTAGATGTTAATGATCGGTATCTCGTCATCTTTACGTGTTGTTTTACTCACTCCGGACTTGTCGCTGCCAGTGACTCGGATGAGTTGAGAGATCTTCCGGCGGTTACCAGATGCGGCTACTGCTCCTAACTCGTTGGCATGCTCCTACCACTAGGCTTCTCGGTCCTTTCACAAGGTTTGCACGATTTTACCACGTAAAAGTCTTCGTCTGTGGTTAAACTCGTCGTCATTCTGAGTAGACCGACGAACTTCAGTGAGTTGTAAGGAGCGTGAAGAAACGCAGTGCCTATAAGCGGGACGTTTCGCGACGCGTCATGCGACTTTACTCGCCATTTTCATGGTGTCATGCAATTGCAACCACTACTCATCCATACATTTCAGTGGGCTGGTAGCTAGCCTTGAACCTAGCTCTGTTTGATATTTCGTTGCAACAGCAGCTGCAACCAATTTGCTGAGATCGATCCGTTTCGGACGATGTATTTGTTGGCCACTGGAATGTGAGGTAAGATTAGCGCAAAGAAGGGCATGATTAGAGTTGAGATAGGTACTCCAAAAAGGAGCAGTAGTCTTGTACACAACCACGGCAGGTGTATCTGATGGCGATGTGATCAATTTGAGTTCAGGTTTGTGATGCAGAGGTAGGATGCTGGGTAGCATATCGGCGATTACTGTGTCAGTAGTGCGAGCTAGCCGGAAACAGATTGTAGTCTGCGTACAGTTGCAGTAGACAGTTGAGGTGCTCCTTAAGGTATTCTGGCCATTGTTCTAAACATTTAGACTGAGGGCATATACGGTTGCCGTCTTTTTCCGAGATTGTCTCACTTACACTAGACTTTTAATCACGGTTTCTTTTATTATTCTGAAAAGTTGTCTTATGTTACCTGCAGTCAATTCCTCCTTCATCTTTTTTGCTTCCGTTGCCCATCACTGCTCACGATCGTTCTGTAGACTATTGGTGAACCTTGAATGATTTATTTGCTCTCTTCATGGTGTTCAAAGCGTGATGTGGTAATTTTGCGAGAGTCTATCAGTGCAATAGATGTCGCAGAAATTCACTGGTTTTTTGTAACCCTTTGGTTCAATTCACTAATAGATGTTGCTGCTGTTTCCACAGTTGATTGTATATCTTCCTAAGCAACATTTGGATCAGCCATTTTTTCAAAATTGCCTAAGTGTGACTTCTCCTGGAACTTGCCTTTCTCATTACTGAGTTCAACTCTAATGGTTCTTCTTAATGTAGAACACTGGCATGCCTATCGGCGTCTGACAATGGTGGTCTTTCTTGACTTAAAAGCAGCACTTGGCTCCGTAGACCGCGTGATTCTGTGGCAGTTTATGTCATTGAAAAGTGTACTTCGGAAATACATAAACCTTGTGAGAGCTCTTTGCTCGAACGCTACTAGTCCAGAGCTTATGGTGAGCTGTCATTTGATTTTGCAACCTCAGAAAGCTCGACTGGGTTTTGCCAACTTACGTCACCTATAGCGAAGGCGAGATATCTGTCTATGTATATAAACGACGAGTATACTGCGCAGCAGTACGTTCTGTCTCACAGTACGGCTGCGAAACGTGGCGAATTAAGTGTAGATGATACTCGTGAGTTACTAGTATTTGATCACAGATGTCTTAGAAATATTGCTCACATGTTCTGGAATCACTGGCTAATTAGTAGTGAGTTTAGGCTCAGGGTATTAGGGCATGATGGTAAATCAGTTGATGAGGTTGTGTACATCGACTGAAATGATTGGGCCATGTGTTAGACATTCCCAACCGCCGACTACCACGGCATGTGATGCTGACTGGTGTTGAAGTGGCTGAACCAAAACATGGCATCAGTTGATAAAGTCACTAACATTTAGTCTGAGCCATGTTGTTAAATGCAGACTACTTTGTTGGGGTCCTTGCGACCGTCGTAACGAGTGGTTTGAGACTGGATAACGTGGCGCAGAATCGATCACAATGACATAAGTGTATGCGTTCTTTGTCTTCCCTTAAACCATGAGATAAAGATTACTTTATCCATACTCTCTACGAACCAATCCTTCCTCCCTGTATCATTTCCTCATATGCAATATTTAGTTATGTATTACTACCACTGAAGTGACTACTTCTATGGATTTCCTCATCTTTTACTGTTGAAATATGGCAACTTGGACCAATGCATTTATGTAACTGATTCTATATTTTAGGTATCTGACGGACTGATTTGAATGAATTCGTTCAAATGTGAAAGTTAGATTACATCCGTTATTGTATATCATTTACAACGGAAAATATATCAGTTGCTAATAAAAATCATTTTTGAAAATTATTATAGCCTAATGTTATTTAAAGATAACTATTTAGTCTATATTTCTTAGTTGTCTAGATAAATTTGTGAATAATTTCAGAGGTTAACTAACTGAATAAAAGCCTTTGATCATGGAAATAATCCTAAGCTATTTATTTAGAAAGAATCTCCGACCATTATAAAACCAGATGATTTCAGATATAGGTATTGCGAAATTTAGTGTCTCCTGTTATTGTTAATTGACAATATGACAACTAGTCAGCTTAGATCATATATTTCACTGCGCATCGACGATCTTCCAAATATATAATCGAACTACTTCTTTGCTGAATTCTGCGTTGACTGGTTTTGGAATTCTCAGTTAGAAATTTGTTAGTGACGGCAGTATTGTTAAGAGCTGATATCTGTAACATCTTTAAGTCCTTACTCATCATATACAATATTTTGGTGCCATTCTCATTATTATAAGTGAATTTTCTGTCGAATTTTTGTTCATTAATTGTAATATATTTTTAGTAAATTAGTGAAATATTTAATAAACAGCTATATTTTCATCAATTGTACATCAAAAATCTGTCTAGATTCTTTAAATTCATACTTTAATAATATGTTAAACTGAACTCATACAATATTTTATTTTTTCCTATTAAAATTTTTTAGGAAGAATGTTGGTTTGGCTTCTACTTGTAATAAAGTTGGACAGAGCCTTGGTTATGCGTTATCATTTATTCTCTTAGTTTGCTTAGAGTCTCCTGATATTCCTAACAAATATCTTAGACGAACGCCTATAGCAGACAAAGGATTAATAACATTTTCCGGTCTGTATATATTGTACAAAAATATCATGAATTAGTTTTGCAAATTTTATTATTATTGTATAATTTATCGATGTGATTTAATCAAATGTTTAGAGGGTTTATTGAACTTTCTTAGTATATCAGTGATATCAATGTGAAAGTCAGAATCATTCTTATGGTAATCATTGTTAGGGCGATCTTGATAAGATGTCATAAAGTTGTTTGAGATACAAGATTATCAGTCATAGGGTTTATATAATCATGGTCATTCTAACGTGATTATATGGCAGTTTTGATAGATACTTGTGCGTGATAGATTTATCTTTATCGTATCAATCAAGTGTGAACTTGATATTTTGTTGTTGAGCGCTGTAAAGAAATGGTTTTTCTTTTCTTACGTATTGCTAATTATTTGATATGTTTTTGCTTTTAAACAGGTTTTCTCTATGCATGGGGTTTTGGTTTCATGATATTTAACACAGTTTTGGTAATATTTAAACATGAAAAAGGCTCGAAATTGGATGGGATTATACGTCACTTCGTAAAAAGTCGTTTATTCAGTAAATCGAAATACTCGACGCACTCATTGAACAGTGAACAGACGGCAAATAAAAACGAACAAGCGGACGGAAGTGAAAAAGTCTCATTACTTAATACATATAAGACTATCATTGGTGTTATCCAACTGAAACCTGTCGCGTTGTATTTGGTATTGTTAGTTTCATCAAAGGCAAGTAAAGCAGTTATATTAATTATCCATATTAATTGATTTTTTTGCGTACGTGATACCGTATGATTGTTTAAGAAAGGATTCTATATTTTCTTCCTGTTTTAAATTATTACTGGCGAAGTTACAGTATTTTAATCCGAATTTGTTCTCAGTGGGTAATATACAGAACTATATTTATATATTCAATAGGCATTGGTCGGTAACCTAAGCTTTCATAGTCCTTTATTGTGTATTATTCAGTTTGTTGCATAATTTTCGGATATGTATACTGTACAAAACGGAAGCGTATAATGTTGATATTGATGAACCAAACCTTCGATTTTTAGAGAAATTTATGCAAATTAGCTCACTATCTTATTCACTATTTCAGTTGAAGGTTTTCTTCAACATTTTAGTCATTAAGCCGAATCAGTTTGATCGTGAACCTTCACGTTCATTTTGAACATATATCGTTGTATTTTTAATCTGACATAACTAGTGTTCATATTTGACCACTTCAGTATACATTTCAAACGTTTGTATACTAATTTTCAGTTATTTTTTTAGCAACATATTTCAGTTTGTTTTACAACTTCTTTGAATTGTTGTTTGGTTATGGATCAAATATTGTTTTGTTTATCTGAAATTCTATACTTCCTTAAAAATTGCGAACAGTTTCTTTGTAATTTATATCTTTTCAGTTTGGTGCATCAATTTTCTCGTGAGGTTTTTAGCTCACATATCAAATCTAGGATTCTTAAATCCCTGAATAAAAGGCGTTGAAGTAATGGGAAATATGTGTTCACTTTCAATTTTCTTTTCTGAACACAGAAATGGAGGTTTGTTTTTTAGGAAAAAATATAGATCGTGATAGTATCCTTAGTTAGACAACAGTTAAATAAAAGACAATATTTTTCTTTATCATTCGAACAAGACTTTAATTAAATATACTGTTTTTATTTTGGGTGCATGGACGATCTTAATTCATCAAGTGAATTATGCTTACTGAAACTAAATTGACAATGTTTTCAATTTCCAATATTTTCAATATGATTGTATTGAATACAACCCTTAAAACGTTCCTGGTACACTATGTTTTAACCGATTCTTCCCAGTTTTTAAGGTTATAAATGCACCATCGATTAATGATGTACTGAAGTAATGTAAATAGTGAAACTGATAATTTGCTCAAATAACCAGTCTTTACAAACTTAATCAGTAGAATTCAGACGTACAAATCGTTGACAGACTGAATTAACGTATTATCAAACTTGAGTTTGTCATGGATATAAAGAATATTCAACTAAGATGGGAATGTATCAGGTCAATAATGATTGATCAAGAATAACATCGAAGGTTGTAAAACAGCCATTGACCATTCATTTCTCTGTTTAATTGTACTTTGTCGGTTTTTCTAATCTTTTGTTTTACTAAAAATTATTTTGGGTTTCAAAAATGTATGAAGTATATTTCCCGAGGTTTATTTACTGTGTGAAGTGTATTCTAGTTTCCCTATAATTGTGGCTGTCTATTCAATAACTATGAATTCAATGATACTTAATTTAATACAAGCGTCGCACAATTTCATTCAATTTTGAAACGATCATTCGTTTTCAAAATGAGTGTTGACCATAATTGGTAGATGTTTTCAAGTTTTAACGTTGATACTGTAGAGTTCTTAGTGAATGATAGTTTAGACTTGTGAAACGTACGTGTAAAATATGATGTTTACTGGTCTCAGATTAGAAATCCACAAATACTTATTGGTAATGTCAAAGTTATACATGATTACTTTTGGCTTTGATATCTAATAAAATTGATGTTCTCCTCAGATTGTTGAGCAATCCAGTTTATACGAGTCAAATTATAATAAATGAGGGATTTTAATGCTAGTATCTACATTAGCCGATTAACTTATGATACTACGTTTTACATGGGGTTTGTTTGAATTAGTTATTGGTAGAAATAAAATAAAACTTTTTTCGACTTCACAGATTTTGGTTTATAATGCTTCTTTCCCTAATATGCATGTAATTTGAAACAATTATAAGTCAGTCAGTCAGTCGATCATATGCAACACAGAACATGACACATGTGGATTAATTCAAGTTGCCACAACACTTTAGCACAATTGTTTCAAGACAAATCCTACGTTGGTAAAAGTAATAACAGGATCAGTAGCAGTAGAACAGATTAACTATGGAAGGAAAGAGAGAAGACTTAGTAGGAAATTTGGGAACTCAGAGAATAAGGGGACATAAAGAATGAACTTACTCGAGCCATGTTATCCAAAGTCGCTCACCGCTGGTTAACGGTGGTTGGGTGGACCCCAGTCAAGTAGTCTACATCAAGCTTTATGTCTCAGTCCAATAATTAGTATATTTATAGACTGATAGTACGTCTTGATTTGATCACTGCTAGATTTTTAACGGCCTGCTCCTACGCCAGCCATAATCGGGAGTCTAGGTAGGCGGTGTTTGTGTTTACCTAATACATTTCTCAATCACCTCTGTTAATGAAGATTTTCTATCTCATCAGTCGATTTCCCATCTTTACCTAATACCTTACGTTCCTGGTACACTATGTTTTAACCGATTCTTCCCAGTTTTTAAGGTTATAAATGCACCATCGATTAATGATGTACTGAAGTAATGTAAATAGTGAAACTGATAATTTGCTCAAATAACCAGTCTTTACAAACTTAATCAGTAGAATTCAGACGTACAAATCGTTGACAGACTGAATTAACGTATTATCAAACTTGAGTTTGTCATGGATATAAAGAATATTCAACTAAGATGGGAATGTATCAGGTCAATAATGATTGATCAAGAATAACATCGAAGGTTGTAAAACAGCCATTGACCATTCATTTCTCTGTTTAATTGTACTTTGTCGGTTTTTCTAATCTTTTGTTTTACTAAAAATTATTTTGGGTTTCAAAAATGTATGAAGTATATTTCCCGAGGTTTATTTACTGTGTGAAGTGTATTCTAGTTTCCCTATAATTGTGGCTGTCTATTCAATAACTATGAATTCAATGATACTTAATTTAATACAAGCGTCGCACAATTTCATTCAATTTTGAAACGATCATTCGTTTTCAAAATGAGTGTTGACCATAATTGGTAGATGTTTTCAAGTTTTAACGTTGATACTGTAGAGTTCTTAGTGAATGATAGTTTAGACTTGTGAAACGTACGTGTAAAATATGATGTTTACTGGTCTCAGATTAGAAATCCACAAATACTTATTGGTAATGTCAAAGTTATACATGATTACTTTTGGCTTTGATATCTAATAAAATTGATGTTCTCCTCAGATTGTTGAGCAATCCAGTTTATACGAGTCAAATTATAATAAATGAGGGATTTTAATGCTAGTATCTACATTAGCCGATTAACTTATGATACTACGTTTTACATGGGGTTTGTTTGAATTAGTTATTGGTAGAAATAAAATAAAACTTTTTTCGACTTCACAGATTTTGGTTTATAATGCTTCTTTCCCTAATATGCATGTAATTTGAAACAATTATAAGTCAGTCAGTCAGTCGATCATATGCAACACAGAACATGACACATGTGGATTAATTCAAGTTGCCACAACACTTTAGCACAATTGTTTCAAGACAAATCCTACGTTGGTAAAAGTAATAACAGGATCAGTAGCAGTAGAACAGATTAACTATGGAAGGAAAGAGAGAAGACTTAGTAGGAAATTTGGGAACTCAGAGAATAAGGGGACATAAAGAATGAACTTACTCGAGCCATGTTATCCAAAGTCGCTCACCGCTGGTTAACGGTGGTTGGGTGGACCCCAGTCAAGTAGTCTACATCAAGCTTTATGTCTCAGTCCAATAATTAGTATATTTATAGACTGATAGTACGTCTTGATTTGATCACTGCTAGATTTTTAACGGCCTGCTCCTACGCCAGCCATAATCGGGAGTCTAGGTAGGCGGTGTTTGTGTTTACCTAATACATTTCTCAATCACCTCTGTTAATGAAGATTTTCTATCTCATCAGTCGATTTCCCATCTTTACCTAATACCTTACGTTCCTGGTACACTATGTTTTAACCGATTCTTCCCAGTTTTTAAGGTTATAAATGCACCATCGATTAATGATGTACTGAAGTAATGTAAATAGTGAAACTGATAATTTGCTCAAATAACCAGTCTTTACAAACTTAATCAGTAGAATTCAGACGTACAAATCGTTGACAGACTGAATTAACGTATTATCAAACTTGAGTTTGTCATGGATATAAAGAATATTCAACTAAGATGGGAATGTATCAGGTCAATAATGATTGATCAAGAATAACATCGAAGGTTGTAAAACAGCCATTGACCATTCATTTCTCTGTTTAATTGTACTTTGTCGGTTTTTCTAATCTTTTGTTTTACTAAAAATTATTTTGGGTTTCAAAAATGTATGAAGTATATTTCCCGAGGTTTATTTACTGTGTGAAGTGTATTCTAGTTTCCCTATAATTGTGGCTGTCTATTCAATAACTATGAATTCAATGATACTTAATTTAATACAAGCGTCGCACAATTTCATTCAATTTTGAAACGATCATTCGTTTTCAAAATGAGTGTTGACCATAATTGGTAGATGTTTTCAAGTTTTAACGTTGATACTGTAGAGTTCTTAGTGAATGATAGTTTAGACTTGTGAAACGTACGTGTAAAATATGATGTTTACTGGTCTCAGATTAGAAATCCACAAATACTTATTGGTAATGTCAAAGTTATACATGATTACTTTTGGCTTTGATATCTAATAAAATTGATGTTCTCCTCAGATTGTTGAGCAATCCAGTTTATACGAGTCAAATTATAAT